CAACATAAAATGAACGGGATACAATATCCAAATACAATACAATCAAGTCTAATAACACAGCATGAGATGAGAGACCTCACAGACGAGGTCTAAATAATATAACAGAAGCATACACATCACCATGCTGAGATCCTAAGCATCTAATACAATGAAAAATAAGAGATAAAGAGATATAAAACTTCCCAGGACCTAGAATAACTCTTCATACCTCCCCAAGCAAGTCAAATAGCTTGATACTCGGTCCACTCCCTGACTGCTTGTTGAACAATGCAATCTCAGTGATAGCTTGCTTCTTAAAAATCCACAGGTTGCGGGATTTTCACAACCACCAGAGAATATATGTCGAGAGTTGATTCTGTTTTCATTGACCTCCTTGTGGCTTAAAGAGCAGATGTTCCACCACAGTCAGCAAATGAAGCAGGAGGAAGGAGAAAGTTATCCCAGCTTATTGGAGCCATACTCCATACCCTTTGTGCCTTGGAACACTGCCAGAGCGCATGTTCAGTTGTTTCAACTTCTTCTCCATAGACAACACATATAGGATCAATACAGACTCCTTTTTTATTAAGATTCTGGGAAACAGGTAGAGATTAGAAAAACATTTCCAGATGAAATGTTTATTTTTCCTTTGATCTATCCAAGTCCTAGCTCTGACCAATATATCTTTGACTCTAGAAAGACTGCCTTCAGGTCTGTCTAGGAGTAAAAGCTTTTCAAACATAAGATTAGAGTATGCAATAGCAACTGAGAATGGCCCTTCCTTTGAGTTAAGCCATAACCAACCATCATTTTTTTTTCAGGATTTGAATGATTTAACTTCAAGATAGCATCAGCTTAATCTTTATCAAAGAGGGAGTTAACCAAATCAGAGTTCCAGTTCTTGCCATTAGGGGTTAGCAACTCATTCACCCAAATACAAATGTTTTGAGTTCCCTCTTTAAAAGCAATTTTTTGGTAATTCAGAGTTTTGACCCAAGGATACCCCAAGATCAAAGAGTTTCTACAACTCTGCAAATTCACTCTCAGCCTAAGATAAAATTTTTCTTTCACCACCATCCAACAATTCCACAACTAAGAGCCACCAGATGTTCTTTATGCCTCAAAAAATGTAGAAGTGGGAAAATATTTGGATTTCAGGACTTTACTAACTAAGAGATCAGGATTAGAAACTAACCTCCAGAGTTGCTTCATTATCATTGCTTCATTAAACAACTGAATGTCTTGAAATCCCAATCCTCCCATTTCTTTAGGAATTGTAATCCTCTGCCAGGCCACCCATGGGATTCCTTTGTCAAGATCACCCCCTCGGCTCCACCAAAAATGGGCACAAAGTCTAGAATTTTCTTTACAAACTGCAGCAGGTAACTTAAAGCAAGACATCACATATAAAAGCAAGACATTAGGAACAACTTTAATCAAAGTCTCCTTACCAGCTAAAGAGAGAAATTTATTTTTTCAACTCAGAATTCTACCCCTAACTACTTCAATGACATAAAGAGAAAGTTTGAATCTTAGATTTACCAATTCCCAAGGGAAATCCATGATATTTGGTAGAGCTATGAACAGGAATGTCATTAAGCACAAAGCAGGTATTATTAATCACATGAGAAGGGGTATTCTTACTGAAAAATATGGATGATTTGTTTCAGTTGACTCTTTGACCCGAGAAAGCCTGATATTTAGCCAGGATGTCCATAAGTTAGTAGGCTTGATTAGAATCTCACCAACAATAATGAAAAGATAGGGGGACAAAGGGTCCCTCTATCTAATTCCCCTAGAAGGATGAACCAATCCAGCAACAGTGCCATTGATGTTGAAAGAGTAAGAAGGGGTAGTGATGCAGCCCATGATCGAGGAGACAAATCAGATCTGTGTCTATTCGAACTTAAAAAACATCAAATAAATAAACAATCTTGTATTATTTAAGATGTCTCGCCCGCGTTGAAGTAGTTCAAAACATTGTTGTACTTCGAACAGATTGTGGCACCATCCGTGATATTCCTATAAATTCTCGAAATAAAATGATGTTAAACAAGATTTTTACTCAAACATTAATCGGTATCGTGTAACGTGTCATGTTCGATCTTAATATTTGCATTTTTTTATCATAAGATTGTGTGGCATAAATAGCATTGCATATTGAGTAGGCTATTTGAACATGAAACTTTTTTTCTATAAAATATTATGTATGTTTATAAACAACAAAAATAAACATCTAAGTCAAATATTGAGTTTAATACAAAATATTGAACATTTAAGTCAAATAATAAAATTTTAATCAAAAATATTAATTCCAAACAGTAACATTGATATGGGATACCCAATGGGGTCGAATAGACCTGATAGATCAGCCAACTGTGTCGGGTAAACCGGTTGGCCGAATGGAGCTACAAGCAAGTCGAACGAAAGATCGAAGGAGCAGCTACATAGGAAAGAGTCCTTATATCGATGAGGATGTCATAGATCCGAAGGAGCACACCAATAGGTCGAGCTACGGTCCTCGGATGTCCTGGTTGAAAATCGACCTGAAGATATGACTAGACGATGGATCGACCAGAAGAGCAGAGCATTCGAGCTTATTATAGACAGCACTCCACCTCAAGGTGAATTGGGTCGGTCACACGATTAGACCGTCTAATAAGGCAGATTAATGAATAAAAAGGAATATTATTAAGATAAGAACCACACATGAATAGGAACACGTGGCCTAACAGAATTGGACAGTTCGGGCAGTCTTGGGCAACAAAGTAACACACCCATATATATAGGGATGAGGTATGTCTATTGAAATATTACACTCTTTATATACTCTATATTTACAGAGCTTTACACTATTGTTCATCGTCTTCTTCATCTGTTGACTGACTTGATCGTCAGAGTGCTAACGTCGGGAACCCGTCCTAGCTCATTTTGTAGGTCTACGAACAGGTCAAGAAGCATATCCGGATTGCGCGATCGAGGTCTTTACACACTATTTTGGCGTCATCTATGAGAACTACGTTAAAAAAGCCATCAATCAGCATAGCCATAGAGAACGAAGCTCCCAGGAAAAACATAGAGCACACTTTTGACGATGCGTGGACGACCATGCGTTCGCTCAGAGCAGGACCACAGGCCGTTTCAAACCTCGATGATCTCGATGCCTAATCTGGTGGGCTTGGAGAGCTCATCGGCGGTTCCAGATGCTGTCGTAGGCCTACGCAACCTTACGGACCACTAGATCAATCATATAGGTTGTGGTTCCACCCCAGACGCAATCGAATCTAGCTTCGGTCATGCCGATGGGACCACCAAGGAGCACTGTCGAGCCAACAGGTCAACAACTCGTCACTCTAATGAAGGAAGAGCTAAACAAGATGATAGTTGATGTAGTGGATGCCGGGTGCGCTCAGCAACATATGTCCAATGCGGTTACTGTTACTGCACAAAAAATACATGGAGGTCGAAATTTCAAGCAACTTTGGCGGAGAGGCAGATCGTGATCTCATGGTGGAGAAAATGGTAGAATAGTTGAGGGAGTTGCAGGCGAAGGTGGAAGGGAAGAAGCTGGGGAGAGCTCATGGCACCCCAAAATGATCATCTATGAGCTTAAACAATTCATCATCATGTCCAATTCCATTACGAGATGCTTCTGATAGCTAATTTGTTGTGTCCACACTGAGATAAACATTATTTTCAAACTGTTCATCATCATCACTTTGCTCAGTTTCCATATTGTAATCAGAATCAAGAGTCTTCAGCATAGTTCTTTTGAACAGAGGTTTCATCAAACTCTTTCTGAGCAGATGCTTCTTCACCATCCTTTTCAACAAATGCTTCTAAGAGCTTATTTGTTGTGTCCACACTAAGATCAACATTTATCTCAAACATCTCATCATCATCACTTTGCTCAGTTTTCACATTGTAATCAAAATCAACAGAGTCTTCAACAGAGTTATTTTGAACAGAGGACGGATGCTTCTCCACCATTTTTTTCAACAAATGCTTTTGACAGTTTATCTGTTGTGTCCAAACTAAGATCAACATGTTTCTCAAACAACTCATCATTATCAATACTTTGCTCAGTTTCCACATTGTAATCAGAATCAAGAGAGTCTTCAGCATAGTTCTTTTGAAGAGAGTCTTTATTATAGTCTTCACCAACAATTTCATCATCACTTGGTATCACATCCTTATAAATTTCTATCTCCATAAGAACAGATGCTTAATCCTTTAAAGTTATTGCCATGCAATATGTAATGCTTCATCCTTTTTCCTTTTTCAACAACCTCATCAATTAAGCTATTTAGGATTTCTATGTTCATATCTTTACTATCCAAATAGTCAGAGATAACTAGATCACCCCTTATAATAACCAGTAGTTACATTCATAAATTGACCTCCATATTACACAACAACACTTAGTTAACCACACTCACGAGCTGTGGTAAATAAAAAATTAAAATTTCATCAACAGAATAAAAACTTTACAAATGCATAAAATACTTGTCTTATGTCCCCACATGTTTGTATAAAGCCAAACATAAAACCACAATGCAGGACCACCACTTTAACTCTAACATTTTTTTTTATCTTGATAATAGTGTATTATTGTCATAAAAAAATAAAATAAAAAGAACTTCAAACTGGTGTGCATATTAATGAAAACAATGGAAGAAAGTTCAGGAGGCTTACTGGACGCAGGAGGAGAAGAGTTTGGCTTCCTATAGCTTTGCAAGTAGAAAGAGGATGTCATAAAATCGACGTCTTAATGGCTAGGGTCCTTCTCCGATTTACAACTTCAAGCATTATGATTTTTCTGCTCGATTCTAGGGTTTTCTCTGTTCAAATTTCGCATAATTTTTCTTTTCCTTTGAAAGATGATGACCAAATGCGTGAAAGATGTATTTATAGCTTGTTGAGCTAAGCTGGATTAAGTAACCCACGCATAGTCTATGCTAGCATATTTTGTGCTATCAGTCGGAACTCTGACGATTTGGCCAGAATTGGGTAGAAAGACCGAAACTTTAAAACCTTTTGACTACTATTGCCAAATCCAAAAGGTGGCTAAAACTGCCAACTTGTATAAGTTACTGGCTAATTTTTGCAATTTAGCCTAATTTTATCATACAAATCACTCTTAGTCATATATAATTTCATCATTTTACATTGGTATTATAATTTATTATATATACAAAGAAGTATCTCCTTTCATATCTGCACATACATACATATTAGCTAGCAAGTATAGTCAATCAACATGTACTAATATCCAGAATCTTATTAATTTATAAATCTCTAACTGCTGTATATGCAGAAATATGCACATCTGCACACTCCGAGTCCCATGAGAAATCCTTTCTCATAGCATCGCTTATCCTTGTAATCCATTGTGATGGGTTGTGTTCCTGCAAATTGAAAGAGAAATAAAAATGAAAAAGAAATCAAAACCAACAAACAACAATAATTAAGCCTAAGATTATGTTTTCCATTATCATGTAACACATTTAATCGAGACCCAAGAATATTCTAGGATAACACGTACAATTTCGTCAATTGCTTGGCCAAGAGACATATTGGCAAAGGTATAATTGATGTATTGCGAGAATTTAGTGCTCTCAACACTATCATCGCCAAAGTTCCTGTAAGAGATCCATAGCTTAATCAACAGATGAAAAGGTTTAGAGCACACACACACACACACACTATATGTGTGTATATATATATGCAGTTAGATACATCAGGTCACCTGAATCTGCTGTCAGCATAGTTTATAGGCACAGGAGCTGCTCCATATTTCATGGCCTTGAGCTGTACAAAAAGAGACAACCAAAACAATTCTTAAAATTTGGGGAATAACATCAACCCAAAATTTTGAAAAAACAAGATATATAAACAAATAAGTGAAAACAATAACTGTGCACACTCGGAAAAGTCTCACTGGGTGTTTATATTCTTGGTCTTGTAATCCTTTAAGCAAAAACTGGGTTATCAATTGTAAGTGCTCTGAAAGTAATTTCTCTCTCTTTAACAAGTTAATTTGTAATAACTGAGGGACTTGAGTCACAATCTTTTATTCGCATAAAGAAAGAAACTTACAGGCACTTGGAGAACAGGATCATCAAAACATGGGCATAGCATAATGTCACATCCTGAAAATATCAGATGCGATAATTCTTCATCATATTCATCAATGAATCGCACATTTTCGTCCTGCATGAAAAATGGCATCACTTGATATTTACACTTCGCATTGGAAATCCTTAAAAACTAATCTGGCTTAGATAGAAAAGACTATACACAATGATAGCCAAGCTGCTTGGATACAAATTTTTCCAAAAAAAAAAAAAAAAAAATCCAATTATTTTTAACCAATCAATTTTTTTAACTCAAATCTAACCCAACTGTAACTCAACCCATTATCCTCATTATTATCAATATAAATAAATAATACCACTCAATTTATCTTCAATGTAATCAATATAATTAAAATATACCACTTAATCATTCTTACACATTACATTAACTTTAATTCACTATTTATCTCCTCACATAATTTTAACTAACCGCCACTTCACATCATCTCTCTTTTACTTTTACACAAATAAACTTTGATTATTTTATTTTAAATATTATTTTAATATAAACTCAAAATCCCACTAACAACTAACCATACCATTTTTTTCAAAATTAACAATACCAAACCAAAAAATCCAAACAAAATCAAAACATCTTATATCCAAGCTCCGTCACAAAGTTCCTAAAGTGGGCATGTTTTCTCAAGCAATAAGACAGCTTCAAGGCCCTCAGAATCTAATCTAATTACATAAATAATTCAAGAACATACCCTGACTTCTTCCTGAAAAAGCTTCAAGGCCCTCCTGATTCCAGGAAGTTGGCTAGATCCCATGAAAACAAACTGGTGGTAACACATACTCAAGAATCAGATGTTGGGAACAACTTGAACAGAAGAAGAAGCCATCAAAAAAGATTGTGAAAATTAGCAAAAGTGTTGAAAATAGTCAGATGCATTCTTCACAAGACTATTTATCTGATAAAGAGAGAGTGTTCAAAAGCCAGGACAAAAATACCTGAACTCCCCGCCTAGACATCATCCAAACTAGCGGCTTAAGCTTCTCTAGGTCAACATCTAAAACATCCGAGCAAATGCTTCCTACCTGACAATTCAATAGAAAGAAGTAAATATTAAGGGGGTGTATTCAATTGGGATTTCTAAGGATTTTTTAAGATTTTAGAAATCTAGGTGTATTCAATTTAGATTTGTTTAAGACTTTTATTCTTGGGATATTCAACTGGGATTTTAAAAAGTCTTACAAAATCCTGAGGTATTTAACTTATTTGACACTAGGATTTATAGAAACTTTTTAAGATTTGGTGGGACTTCTAAACAAAAAACCTTATACAAAATCCCACTTCAAATCCCAACTCCAGACTTAGGATTTCATAAAATTTCTCCAACATCAAAAAATCTTAAAAAGCCTTACAATGTCACTTAAAATCCCAATTGAATACATAAATTCAGGGGTAACTGTTTAGATTTTATGATTGATATAGAACACACTGCATTATGAGCTTAAGCACTCCTAAACACTCACAAGAACTTTGGAGGTTCCTTCATGTAAACCCAGTCTACGCTGCAATGTGGCTTTACACACGAATTTTCCTTTCATTTCATCAGCATTATAACTTTTTGGTATTAAATTGTCGCGTGAAGGATCCCACGTTGATTTATCGAGGCCAGAAGGAGCAACCACCAACTTTTCCCTACAGCCAACTAACCATGCTAAGGATGACTCAAGGAGTGTAAGCAAGAAACTTGTTAAAAATTATATGATGGGCAAGGAGTAAAATGACCAAATACCAATCGTTTGTCTTGCAACAACCAGTTTTACAAGATTATACGCAGGATGCAAAATCTCAAAGGTCGTACGTACCTATGAATACCGAAGGTCGGTTCCAAGCCATGTCCGGAAGAATTAATGATCTGGCCTTTTGTCTGTCCAGATGACATTAGGATAACCTTATTGGAGTAAACAACTCCACCCTGCAGATAATGGAAGGGAAAAATATCGAGAAGAATATAGAAAGAAAGGATTCAATGAACTGAACCAGTGCTTAAAAGAATAGCTAATATGGTAAGATTTATCAAAGAAGGAACAAGAAAATAAAATGGATTAAAGGGCAGAGATTATAAATTTTAACGACAATGCTTTTAGTTAGAATATAATTATGTGTTTGTACAAGGTGCGAGCTTAAGGGAGGATCAAAGCCAGAATTCAGAAATTCTCATTTTATTTCATTGATACCTAAAGTTACTCGACTTGGCTCTGTTTATCTATCACATTACTGACGTATCTATAATAATTAAATAAGATGACATTGAAGTGCAGGACCATAGATGTAAATATGGCATATAATGAGATTGCATACAGAAGAAAGACCTGGTCCATAAATTCTTTAGGCTATAAAGTGAGACAACACTTTAATAAGAGAGAGAGAGAGAAAAAAATACCTTTAAAATGTTGACTAGATGAGACTTATTGTTATCTTGCAGTCGATCAGATCGAAACAATCTAGATGGATCAAGCCCACATAATGCTAGCTTTCCAGGTTGTTCAAGGCACTATAACAGTATAGATGAAGCAAGATAATCAGTCTGCGTATTGAAAGGAAAAATGCAGCAAAATTATAAAGTTGAGAATCAAAACAACATAAAAAGAGGTGCTTGCCTGGGATTCAAAGCCCTGGCACGTCAACAGAATCTTAGTACCTTCAAAGCCCTGCAAGTCGTTAAAGAATATATATTGCAAATCATGTAAGAATAACATCAGGGAAAAAATGACAATCAAAACTGTTGCGATAGCCTGTAAGTTTTATTTGGACTGAACTAATTATATCTTTGTCTTTTATAAGTATATGCTCTCCACAATGTTTTAATGGCACTAAGTAAAGGTTTGCACATGAGATGGGACTCACTCACAATCTTGATGACATACTTAACACTTTTTTTAAAAACTAAATTATTATTTATATCTAAATTGACACCCGTCGCTTTTATGACATACCATCTTATATTACAATATTTCTTTTAACTTAATTTATATAACTACTTTTGTAGTTAAATTAATTCAAATAATTTTGATTTTTCCAATTAATACTAATAGGTAATTTAATTTTTATTCTAAGACAAATATAAATATTTATTTATTTTGTATGTCCAATATAAATGCCTAATTGAAGCTCATGAAGACATTATTTTCATATATTATATATAAACAAATGATAATAAATAAAAAAATTATTAACTTTTAATCTATTTATAATTTAAGTTAGGTCAATTTTTTATAATTATGAAAGATTGGGGAAAACAAATTTATGCCTTATAAACCACATTTAGAATAGGAAATGATATTAAAACATAATTAATAATTAAAAAATTATCATAAACCTATTTATGGATGTTCCAAGCCTCGCTATTTTTGGACTGGAAGTAAATTAAAATACATCCAAGCCAAATGACAAAGCATGAAAGTTTGTCACACTGAAGCGTGCGAGTCTGCCACTTTCGGGAATTATATATAAGGGGGATTGGTTTTTCTTTTGAAGATTTAGAATAGAAGCATTTGAATGCTTTACTTTTTCTGACCATGTATCTGAGTACTTGTAGAATGTTTATATTTGATCAACATACATTGGGAAAGATTCAACATTCAGGAGTATACCTGATTGACAAAAACGTCCCAGAAAAGTGGTCCAACAATTGACGTTTGCCAATTGTGAATATGAAGCACATCAGGTCGCTTCCCTGACTTAACTAGGTAGTCCAGTGAAGCACGAGAGAAATAGGTGAATCTGACAGCATAAGGTCAGTGCAATTAGGTAGCAGAAATAAATGAATCGAAGAAGCAAACAGTGATAGGTGCATTACTAACTATAGTTTAATGAAATCATAAAATTGGTATTCTATAGAATAGGCATCGGGATCCATATCAATTTCATCATTGTTTCTCAGTATAGAGACCACCAATGTGACTTCACACATCCTTATCATAATTTTGTCATTCTTACTAACCTAAACAGATCTTCTACGAGCAAATGAAATCAATTGTGCCCAATGAAATCAGAAAGATTGGTAGTTGGAAACTTGGAATGGAAACATAAAAAACAAATAAAGATTTGTATCATATATACCGTGGTTGTATATACTTCAATAAACAATTCTGATAAGTCGTATTCTTGGCATGTTAATTGTCATGTTTTCAATACTTTTTCGGTGTTTTTTTGGCTTAATTAGTGATTTTACTTAATTTTTATAATTTTTGTAAGATATCTCATAATTTGGAATTTTATGATGATTGGAGGGAAAAAGAAACGAATTTGAGCTAAGACGTGGACACGCTAATTTCCTACAAGAAGAAGGAAGGAGTCTTGAGTTGGAAAGAGAAATAAAAGACTTTGTGGAGTTTAAATTTTTGGGCTATTTTAATTTATTAAGGATACAAAGAGAGAATATTATTTTCTACGTATTATTAAATCGGACAGTCAGGTATTATTGTTTCTCTCTCCTATTTCTTCTCTTCTCTTTCAGTTCGACATTATTTTTTTTATATGCGGGATCAATCTTGAACGAACACACGAAATTCTTCTGTCTTTATTATTTTTATTATGAATTTTATGGAGAAGATTACCATGTTTATATGATAGCTAAATTATTTTTCCCGCCAAAGGATTATTCTTGATTTGGTTCTTTATTATTTATGAGATCTAATTAAATTTTCTATTCTCTATTCTCTTTTATTCGTATATTTCTTATGGTTATTATCAATTGTTATTTTGGTTGATTGATGCAAAAAGAGCTCATTGTTCAATTATTGGAATAGCATAGTCATTTAGGACATTAAATTCGTAATTGTTTGATTGGTCTATTATTAGTGGCAAAGAACATAGTTGATTACTAAGAATTTCGATTTTATGTTTAGGGAGATTTATGATCTAGTCAAAATGATCCTACACGTGCATTTGTTGGCTAAAATTAGTGGTCCTTCTAAGTTGTGCGCTGGATCACTTATCCGAGAGTTGCTTCAGACCGCAGTCAAGAGGTCCCCGACACGCGCAAGCGTGCTAGACTCGGAAAGAGCTTGCAAATTCTTCCACCCTACGAGGACGACTTGAACAGTAATCT